GGTAAAGAGAAAGCATTTGCTAATACACCCTATTAAAAAAGGAAAGGTAACTAGGAACATAAGATAACTTAACCTGATCAAAGGTTTCTACCAAAAGCCTACAGTCAACACAGCATCTAACAGTGAAGGATCAGAAGTGGAGACTTGGCCGTGAGACCAGCGAGCCTGGAGCCGGCTCTGTGAGACGAGAGAGAAGCGATGGTGTGGATTAGAAAGCAAGAAATTACTCTCTTTTCATAGGTGATTTTTCTTGAAGAGAATCCACAAACTCCTGGATTTGATGAGAGTTTAGCTTAATATTTGGGTAAACGACACACACGCAAAAATGAATAACTTTGCTGGTTGTCTGTAGCTAGAAAAAGAAAAAGATATCTTTTTCTAGTACATTTAAAAATAGCAATAACCTTAACAACAAAAAAGATGTGTAAGACTTCTATAGAGAAGATCATAAAAGCTCCCTGCAAGTATAAAAGAACATTGAAATAAGTGGAGTGCTACACGCTCCATTCACCGACAGTTCCCATAGTATACAGCATCGGCTCTCCCCATGTTCACCTGTAAATTCAGTGTGTTTCAAATAAAAGTTCCAGTAGAATTTTTGGAAGGGATGCATAGACCAAAATGTAGTATTGACGCAGGGCGTAAATAACATTTAGGTGGAACAAAGTGTGAGTCCGGTGAGGGATCCACGTGTACTGCAAACCAGATGGGACAGAGGGGGCTGTAAAAGTCGGGGGGTGGCGGGGATGGACCAGTCTGGAAGGGGCGCTGGGTAACTTAAGCCGTGGGGGAAGCTGACCCTGTTTCCTTTCCTATGCCAGAGTAGATCCCAGGTGATTAGAAACCCAGCTATGAAAAGTGTTCTGAAGTTTGTAGAAGGAAATAAACAGTGAAAGGACTTCTCTCCCAGTGGTTGGAACCTGGGTGGCTGAGAGTCAGGGGTGTAAGGGAGGTTTTCACTCAGTATCAACCCCTTTGTTCCTTTTGCGTTTTGACCCCTAGGAATGCGTTGCCTTTCTCCCACACAACTGAGTAATTATTTAGATTTAAAGGATAGCAACAGATTTTCCCTTAAAAAAAGAAAAAGGAAACAGGTTCTCTTTGACTCTGGGGTGGTAGCAATGAAACAAGAAAACACTGTAAAACAAAACAGTGAAACAATTTTTCAAACAAAATTGGTTGAAAAAGAAACCGCAGACTTGGATACAAATGGTTAATATCCAAATGTGTAAAGGGCACCTACAAATGAGGGAAGAAGACAGCCCTTTAGAAAATGGGCCAAGAGTATGAGCAGACAACGTCGTGGCAGCAGCATGAAGGGCAGCTCACCATGGGAGGCACATGGGGCTGCATCCTGGTGTGAGTGCAGGAGGAGATGGTGCGGGCCGCAGAGGGCGGGGCTCGCGGCACTGCCCTGGGGGAGCAGCCCTGGGCCCTGCGGTGTGTCCTAGAGGATGAAATGCTGCCAGGTGATGCCCGCAGTGGTGTCTCACGCAGCCCTCACCGTAGCGGTGCTGCACATGTGTAAGCACACACGCACGCGTGTGGAAGTGGTGGCATTCTGAGAATTGGTTCTCTCTGGAGAAAAGGATGAGATACCACATATACGTATCTAAAGTAAATGGGGAAAGATGTTTGGATTTGCTAAACCTGGGTGGTAGGTAAATGGACGTTCACGATATTTTTCTTAATCTTCCGTATATTTGAAATATTTCATAATATTTACAAAAACAAGGAGACAGTGATCCTGATGCAGCCGCATCTGCTAGTGTCTCCATTTTATTGTCGTTGTGTTTTAGATTGTGCCTTCCTGGTAAGTCACCTACCGCCCAGGAAATGGGGCTTGGGCTCAGTCGGGAGGCTTCATCTCGCTCCCCTGCCGTGGCTTCTCCAAGTGCCCACACGCGGCCCCCGAGGAGCAGCTGGAGAGTGATGAGACCCCGTCCCAGGGATGCTGTTGAGGGCCCTTTTCGCAAAACGTCCCCAAATCCCCATTGCCAAGTTGGACTGAACTGGCCAGACTGGACAAGCCAGGTCGGGCCACACAAATCAGCAAATGTAGTCCGTGCCTGGGGCGTCCACTTAACTTCTGTTCCCGAGTCCTTACTCCCAGGAGCAGAGGAAAGCCATTCTCTGAGGAGCCCCGAGGTGGCCCAGGGCGTGTCAGTCGGCCAAGCCTGGGAGCGGTCCCCGAGCCTCGGGGGAGTCTTCTGCCCCCTGCCCTGGCAGGCCTTCACCTTTCTGCTTTGCACTCTAAGCGGACTGGCCACAGTAAGTAAGAGTGCACATCTCATAGAGGTTTCCGGGATTGACGGAGTGCAGGTTCTTTGTGGTCAGCCCACACAGGCAGTGGCACGGTTGGCCGGATTCTTTGCCCTCCTGGGCACGGCCCTTGGGAAAACCCTGCGGGAGATTCCCGCTGGGGGCCTTTTACCATGGTGGGGATTTCAGAAGCAAAGCGCCAGAAGGCCGACCTTGAAGGCTGACCTTGAGAGCGTCCTTGAGGCATCGCTGGTTTTGCTGTGCCTGTGAGCACAGGTGGTACTCCCGCCCCTCGAGCAGGAGCTGACTCTGCGGGGCAGCGGGAAGGCGGCTTCCACCTCGACTTCTTGGCTGTCCGTGGTGATGGTGATGTGTCCTGAGCCTTCACTGTTTCACTGAGTTAACACAAATCTAGGGCTTTTCATCTTCCTGTGAAAGCGTCCTTTCAAAGAAACTTGTACTCAGGAGTTAGTGGTGGGGATGCAATTTCTTTCTGGAGCAGCGGTCCTGCAAAGCTGGGAAGACACATCTGTGATGGACTCAGATATCCGTCTGTCCACTGCGGAGGGAAGTGCTCTCCCAGCTGGCTTTTCTCCACTCTGCCCCTGACAGAGAATATATTTTTGTATCCCGTGTTTGCCTAACTTGAGAGTCAAAGCTGACTTTTCAACCGTGCTTTTCTAACCAAACCACACATCTGCAGAGCCCACGGTGGGGGGCAGGTGCCCATCGTGGGGGTGGTGGCCCTGGGGCTCCAGGGGACCCGACCTCCAGGGCTTGTTGGGGACGCCACCCGGGGCTTACGGACCCTCAGCCGGGGTGACCCGGGCCCCTGGCGTGGTGCTGCCTCTGGAGAAGGGGTGTTTCAAAGGAGTTTTGTATCCATTCTTTTTCAGATTCTTTTTCCATGTAGGTCATTACAGAGCACTGAGTAGAGTTCCCTGTGCTGTACAGAAGGTCAAAGGGTTTTTGTCATCTGAATAGGGTGGCTATAGTGATTATGGTGTTGCTTTGTACCTGAAACGTGTCCATGTTGGCGAAGTTCTGAGGGGTGCTTGTGAGGACCCGGAGTTTCAGTTGGTCGACGCCCTCCAAGCAGCGGGGTTAGAACAGGGCCTGGAACGTTCCAGCTTCTTGTCCCTGTCCTCCCACCCACGGGACCCCCCTCCAGGCCTTTTGCACACTTGGCTGCGAGGATCCCGAAGGGCTCGTGTGGGGTGACCTCTCCTGACTGTCATGTGTGAGGGGCCCTGGCTGTGTATCTCGCTGCCAGAACCCATGGCCCGGGGTCAGAACCCGCTGCCCCAGGAGTCCACCTCGGGCCTGAGGAGTGGAATGTGGAGCTTGACCTGGAGCTGCAGGCCCGGCGACAGTCTGGGTGAAGTAAGTGTCACAGCCGCAGCTGAGGGACTTACCACCGTGGAGAGCAGAGCGCGTTCCACCCTCTTCCCGCAAGGGTTCTGTAGAAAGATGGAGAAACTGAGCTCTGGGGACCCGGGGGCCGTTCAGCTCTCCCCCTCACTGCCTTCCTCCCCCACCTCACCATTGCGTTCCCTTCTCAGGTCCACTGCTGGTCCTCCTGGGGGAGCTGTTTCTCACTCCCCAGTTCAGGGGACTGGAATATGATTGTAGTAGCATCAAAATTAGTTGATAAAAGTTGAATGTATCCAAGAAATGAACCTGTTGGAGTTTCTCACTGAAGTCAGATTTAGCCCGGCTGACAGCTGATGGGTGTGGACCTGGCCACCTCTGACCCTGTGGACTTTGGTCCCCAGCCAGCAAGAAGGGGTGGTTCATCCTCTTGATTGCGAGTTTGTCATCAGGCAAAGGGTCCCCTCCCCAGGGCGAGGAGTGGACCTGGTGACACTGTCCTCCTCCCTTTTTGCAGCCTCTGGATGTGAAATTCCAAACCTGGAGTCTTACTTGGTCGGCTTCCCAAGACTGGTATTTCCTGTTTCCTAATGTGCAAGTTTGCAGGTTGCATAGCTCTTCGGAGCCATCACTGGTTAAAGGCCATTTTTCATCACCAACTTTTGATCACCTTTCCGGATTGTAATGCATGGGTTCTCATCTTTGGCCCTGGGTAGTTGTGTTTATCGGCACTGGAGGAAATGGAGGCAGCAGAGTCAGAGGGCCTGCTGGCCTGGACGCTGTGGCTGAGAGCCGGCAGCCGTGTTTGATTTGACTCACATGGTATTTTTAAAATCAGTCAACTTCACGTTAAGCAAAATAAAAATTTCTGTCCTAATGTGAGAAAGCAAAAGATCTCTCAACACGGTGCCCGCATGTCTACAGGAATCAGCTGTGGCTGGGCGTCACCTGGCCCTAATGTAGTGGGGCAGTTTGCCACAGTCCTCACTACTCCCAGTTGTCTCACACCTGGCCGGTGCTTGTGCTCATGTGCATCTTTGACCCCTGCCGTGGGGAACATCGTGAACTGGGAGCATGGCATCTGAGTCTCCTGGGTGTTATGTGCCCTGATTATAGAGCTCCTCGCTGCTGTCTCTCCATGGCTTCGTATTCCCCGGCATTAATGGAATATCTTACGTAAGAGCTGCTCACTTCTGAAGGGGGTGGGGAGAATGGGTGACGTCGGAGATGGCCTAAGTTTGTTTCTTCCTTCACTTTATCAGTCTGAAGAATTAGTGAAACCGTAAGTCAGGTGTTAGGGGTGGGGTTGGCGCTTGTTGAATACCTCAGTTTCTACAAAAAATAATTGACATGTATGTATTTGGCAGGTGAAAGGAAAGCAAGCCAGGATGGATATTTACGACACCCAGACCTTGGGGGTTGTGGTCTTTGGTGGATTCATGGTTGTTTCCGCCATCGGCATCTTCCTGGTGTCGACGTTCTCCATGAAGGAGACGTCGTATGAAGAAGCTCTAGCCAACCAGCGCAGGGAGATGGCGAAGACTCACCACCAGAAAGTGGAGAAGAAAAAGAAGGAGAAAACAGTGGAGAAGAAAGGAAAGACCAAGAAAAAGGACGAGAAACCCAACGGGAAGATACCTGACCATGAGCCAGGCCCCAATGTGACCATCCTCCCCAAGGACGCAGTGCGGGCACCTGCAGTGGCAGTGGCTCCAACCCCAGTCCAGTCCCCTGTGGTCATTCCCCCTGTAGCCACGGTACCAGCCATGCCCCAGGAGAAAACGGCTTCTTCCCCTAAGGACAAAAAGAAGAAGGAGAAAAAAGTGGCAAAGGTGGAACCAGCAGTCAGTTCTGTAGTAAATTCCATCCAGGTTCTTGCCTCAAAGGCTGCCATTTTGGAAGCTGCTCCCAAGGAGGTCCCTATGGTGGTTGTGTCCCCAGTGGGTGCCAAGGGCAGTGCCTCTGCCACCAGTGCTATGCAGGGCAAGAAGGCAGAGGGGGCCCAGAACCAGGGCAAGAAGACAGAGGGGGCCCCCAACCAGGGCAGGAAGGCAGAGGGGGCCCAGAACCAGGGCAAGAAGGGAGAGGGGACCCAGAACCAGGGCAAGAAGACAGAGGGGGCCCAGAACCAGGGCAAGAAGACAGAGGGGGCCCCCAACCAGGGCAAGAAGACAGAGGGGGCCCCCAACCAGGGCAAGAAGACAGAGGGGGCCCCTAACCAGGGCAAGAAGACAGAGGGGACCCAGAACCAGGGCAAGAAGACAGAGGGAACCCCCAACCAGGGCAGGAAGACAGAAGGGGCCCAGAACCAGGGCAAGAAAACAGAGGGGGCCCAGAACCAGGGCAAGAAGGGAGAGGGGGCCCCCAACCAGGGCAAGAAGACAGAGGGGACCCCCAACCAGGGCAAGAAGACAGAGGAGGCCCCCAACCAGGGCAGGAAGGCAGAGGGGGCCCAGAACCAGGGCAAGAAGACAGAGGGGGCCCCCAACCAGGGCAGGAAGACAGAGGGGGCCCCCAACCAGGGCAAGAAGGGAGAGGGGGCCCCCAACCAGGGCAAGAAGGGAGAGGGGGCCCCCAACCAGGGCAGGAAGGCAGAGGGAGCCCCCAACCAGGGCAAGAAGACAGAGGGGACCCAGAACCAGGGCAAGAAGACAGAGGGGGCCCCCAACCAGGGCAAGAAGACAGAGGGGGCCCCCAACCAGGGCAAGAAGACAGAGGGGGCCCAGAACCAGGGCAAGAAGACAGAGGGGGCCCCCAACCAGGGCAAGAAGACAGAGGGGCCCCAGAACCAGGGCAAGAAGGGAGAGGGGGCCCAGAACCAGGGGAAGAAGGCAGAGGGAACCCCCAACCAGGGCAGGAAAGCCGAGGGGGGCCAGAATCAGGGCAAAAAGGCAGATTCGGTTGCTAATCAGGGCACAAAGGCAGAGGGTGTTGCAAACCAGGGGAAAAAAGCAGAAGGGGCCCCCAATCAAGGCAAAAAGGCAGAGGGAAACTTGAACCAGGGCAGAAAGTCAGAAGGGTCCCCCAACCAGGGCAAAAAGGTGGATGCATCTGCCAACCAGGGTAAAAAGGCAGAGTCAGCTCCTATCCAGGGCAAAAATGCAGATATGGTCCAGAGCCAGGAGGCACAAAAGCAAGAAGCTCCTGTGAAGAAGAAGTCTGGGTCTAAGAAGAAAGGTGAGCCTGGTGAGTAGCTTTGATTTCTTTATGACTTTGGAGGGAAAAGCAGTCTTTAAGTGGCTTATGGATTCCCTTTGGGGAAGCCATCTGTATCAGTCAGCTATCGCCACATGGCTGCATAACAAACATCCCAGAATTCAGGGTCTCACAGTGTCAGTCGTTTATTCCTGCTCATGTTTCTGTTGACTTGGCTGGAGGTTGACTGGTCGGGGTTATCTCAGCTGGTGGCTCTGCTTCATGCTGCAGTTTAACTGGTTCAGCTCCTGCTGCAGGTTGAACATAGGTCTCTTCTATGTGTTTCTTCTGGGGCCCTGGCCGAGGCATCAGTGACTCTCGAGGGCAGAGGCCCTCCCATGGTTGTGGCAGAGCTGTGAAAGGGCACTGTTCAAACCAGCATCCTGTTGGCTAGAGCAGCCATGAGACTGAGCCTGAGTCAAGGGGCAGGAAGTCTACTGTCCCCAGTGGGAGGGACTGCGGAGTGACCTGGGAAAAGGTGTGAGTTGAGGAGGGGTGAGGAATTAGGAGCAGTGACTCCATCCACCACCCAGTCTAGGACAGTTCCGTGTCTTGCAGTCTTTCTCAAACGTCTGGCTGTGTTCTGTCAGCCTGTTCTGCGTTCTTACCTCACCTGGTGCTTTAGCATAGCTTTGTTCTTTTCTAGATGTTTGTTGCATGAATAGCAGTAGGATGACGTTTCTGAGAAACAATGGCATCCACACCCCTGCCTCCCAGTTTTCCCTCTTCGCTACGCCCCCCACCCCCGTTATGTAATGGAGCATTAATAGAACATTAAAATAGATATTGTGTATCAGATACATATATTAGATAATGTAGAACATGATTTTCCGTTATCTTTTTAATACGGATTACTGTAGAAATTGGGCCCGTGAGTTCCTGTTTCATATTCATCGCTCACTTGATACAGTAGTCTGATGTTTTCTTCCTCCCTCCCTCCCTCTCTCTCTCTCTTCTTTCTGTCTAGATTTCTTTCTTTCTTAGATTAGCCATTAGTTGATTTGGAAAATTAATTGCATTTGTCTTGGTGAGGTACATTAGGGGCTTTGAAACGTTTGGATCTGTGCCAGGTAGGCAGGGCCCTGCGTTTTTTCCCTCTGTGAAGCTGTATCCGCTTTGCTGTTTCCTCCGTCGCAACTTTTGGGGGGACATTTACTCAGGCAACACTCGTCCCATGTGAGGGTCAGGGACCGGCCCACCTTGCCCCACAGGCCACGTCAGCCTCTCAGGCCCTTTGAAAACCCAGGCGCTCAGCCTCAGCCCTGACTCTGTGGCGGAGGGAGGGCACGCTGCCCTGTCTTCACGGTGATGCTCCACTTGACCCTGGGAGGAGGGCATTCGAGGCAGAAGACAGGGATGCAGGTGAGAGCCGCCTGTTCTCTGGCTTCTCGTGCATCAGGTGTGTTCAGACTAGAGCTTCCTGTGGTCATCGTTACTGTGTAGGGCTTTGGCCATTGAAGTAAGGTATGAAACAGAAACATGATAATATTAGAAAGGAAGGCAAAATTGTCCTAATTTGCAGGTAATAAAGAACCTTGTTGGAAGGAAGACCTAACTTAATGACCTGTGTGAACCCACAGAGCAGCTCGCCTGAGGTGGTATAAGAGGAAATTTGAACAGAAAAAATACCATGGTTCAGGATAAGAAAGATTAAATATTGCAGATAAAATGATAGTCATTCCCAAGTTAACTTAGTAGTTTACTATTCTTCCTGCCAAAATTTCAGTGGGCTTAAAAGTCCCCTCTGGAGGGAAGGATAAGTAAGAATACTGAATAGACTTCTAAGTGGCTATTGGAAGGCCGGTTCTGTCTGATGTGTGAACACAGTCCCAAACTATTGTAATTACAGTAGGGTGCTGGACCGAGGCCAGCAGGTCAGGGAAGAGAGTGGTCCTAACTAGACTGCATCTCACCTGCGCTTCAGGGCGGGGAGGGGACAGGTCAAGGCAGTGATCCTAGGCAGGATGTTTAAGGTTTGGAAGGGTCTGCTTAGTCCCTGTGAAAATGTCAGGTGTGTATCATATTGGAGTTAACGTAAAAAGAAATCAAACCCTAGAAAATAGGAAAGATGGCCGAAATTAGTACTGATCAACTCATGTGGCAGGGGGCCGTGATTCCGAGGTTGCGGGGAGAAAATCACAAAGGGCGGGGCACTGGGCCACACGGCCAGCCATGTAGCACGCGGACAGGCCGCAAAGAGAGCGCAGCCACACCGGGTGGCCTGCGGGTGATGTGACACCTGAGCGGTGAATTGCTTCAGTCTTCAACTCTGAAGAGTTGGAAATGTGGGGGATATGCTTGCGGTTTTTCATTTTTGTGCCCCGTGTGCTTTCCCCCGTTTTCCCACGGTTGGTGGACCCTCGAAGTGGATGCAGGCCCCTGTCCGCCGCTGCCCTCCCACCCCACCCCACCCCCACCGTCTCCGTGGAGATCCCCCCAGGGCAGGGCTTCTCAGGCTTTGATGTGCGGGGTCTTGTTAAGATAAAGACTCAGTGGTTCCCAGCGGGGCCCGAGGTGCTGCGTTTCTAAGCAGCTCCCCGGAGATGCCGGTGCTGTTGCAGCGATGGTCAGGGCCCCGAGTCTACTGGGGGTGGGAGCAGGAAAGGGAGGTGGGCTCTTTCTGTAAGGGCTTGGCTTCGAGCAGCTTTGCAGCTGTGCCTGTGAAGGACCGCTTCCCGAGGGCAGAGTGAGCCTGTCGCTCTGACTTGCCCCGCATTGCCTGCTGAGCCATGTCCGCTACAGCCATGGTGGTTGAGTGTACAAGGACGGGTGTGGACGGGCGGCTCGGGTTTTCCCGTGGCTCATGGAACCGGCCCACACTGCCCTTGCAGTCACAGCTTGTTTGTGGAGCTTGGGGTCCAGTTCATCTGACTCACATGGAGCTTTTGGCCCCTGTGGCCGCGTTGCCCAGTGAGAAGCAGGCCGCGTTCCCTTCACTTAGTTACACCTCGTGTTCTGTGCTCCTCCCTTGACCCCTGGCTGCCTGCCCTTGACCTCCTTGCCTGCCAGCCGGGGCTCAGTCGGTTTGGGGGCCGCCCACTCCATTTCTTCAGGGCCACGGGTACACCCTCGAGGGAACTGTGGACAGATCCCGGCTGGCTGGCTGGCCCTGGGCATCCAGAAACTCAGGGGCCTGGAGGTGTGAATACCTTGGGGGGTGAGGTGTCCTGATGACCATGCCGCGGGGATGAGGGAGATGGTTGGGGGGGTCTGTGTTGCTGGTGCAGAGCAGGCCGGGAGGGAGCTTGGGGGAGGGGACCCGGGCTTGGGCAGGGGAGGGTCCAGGGCCACGAGGTTTAACCGTTGGCACCAGAGAGCTAGGTTCTGGGGCTGCGCTGACCAGTACGGGAGCTGCTGGTCACGTGGGGCCAGTTAACATTCAAATCAGTCAAAAGTCAGAGTGAAAACCTCACTCAAGGTCTCAGTAGTTCCACAGGGCCAATGGCTACCTGTTTGGACAGTGCAGATGAAGACCATATCCATCAGCACAGAAGGTTCTACTGGACAAAGCTTTTCTAAACAAGAGCCATCAGGAATGAGGGGGCCTCTTGGGTCACCTTGCAGGAGGCCCCGTGAAAATGGACTTGTCTTTGCAGCCCTGTGGTGGCGTCAGGAGTTCCTCCGTCTTTGTTCTGTCTGTGTTCTGAGTGGGGTGGGAGTGAGCTCCCCGTCGCCCCGCACATCACGGAAGCCGTGAGTGAGCTCCCAGAGCCTGTGGCTAGCCCACACACGTGGCACGTCAGCAGCAAGAGCAGCCCTGGAGCTGGGGTGGCTCCCTCAGTTGTCCTGATACCCGGTTGTCCCAGCAGGGCCTCTGCTGACAGGAGCCCCAGAGGAGAGCGGGCACAGGACACGCTTCCGCAGGCCCGAGTTGGAGCTATTCTGGAACTTCTGATCTTCCTACAGGAGCAAATTGAGGCTGTGTGACAGGTCTGACCAGACTTGACATGGACACCCACCTTCCTAATCCTTTCTTAAATTTATTGTGTAAATGCGTGCTTCCAGCAAACAAAATTCACAGTATGGAAGCGTGGAAGGTAAGAATTGAGAGTCTTCCTCTCCACTCCATCGCAGCCACCACCGACCTCCCGGGGGGCCCCTGGAGATGCCCCGCTCATCACACGGCACACGCAGCGGGCCTGCGTTGCAGAGACGGACTTGCCTCCTTTGTTCCTCAGTACACCCTGGGGCTGCCGCTTTCAGCTGCATCGTAGCCCACGGTGTGACCATAACGTCATTTATTGAAATGCCACGAAGCAGTGTGCCGTTCTTTTGCTGCTGAAATTAATGCTACAGTGGCGTACATGTATCACTGGGTATCTCTGTAACGTAAATTCCTAGATAGGTAACTGCTAAGTCAAAAGGCGGGTGCTTTTTTAATTTAGGAAGACAAGCTCTATCTGCCTTACCCTCTGGAGGCCTGGTGCAGCGGACGGTTCCCGCGGTGATGGGCCCACGTGAGCGCCCCCCCAACCTGACCTCGGTGCTCACGTGGCTCCGTGGAGATGGGGGCGATTTCAGGGCCATCAGGAGCCCACGTGTGGACTACGAGAAAACACTTGGTTTTGAAACAGAAGCACGGATTCTTTTCCCAGTGTCTGGAGAAGAGGGGATTCACCGAATCATAACGAAGTGGAAACTTCCAGAACGGAAGCTTCCGAGTCGGCTGCACTATCTAGGCCTCTGCTGGTTTGTTCTCCGAGGGCCACTGCGGCGAGTATTCGTGTTCATCAGGAAAGCATGCTTCTTGCCCAGGAAGCAAGCGGACATGGGGGTGGTTTGGGGCCTTCTCGGCAGGGCCGTTCCTCAGCTCCTGGAAGGGAGTCCATGCAAACACAGTGCAGGCCAGGCCTGGGGAACTGGATGCCCAGACTTGGGCCAGACAGGAGGCACCTTCTGGAAACTGAGTTGGGCCCAAGCCCTGGGACTCATGCTGCCACGGGGGCTTGGTTTGCGGGCATCACTGCCGAGCGAGGCTGAGGCCGGGGGGC